GAAGTCCCTCGGCCCTTAAAGGGGAAAGGTTGCCTACTCCTGCCATAGCAAACCTCCTCTGCACAAACCTTTGCCAAGAAAGCCTTAGGATAGGGTAGCCGTGAGTTGGAAACGACTCGAGGGCACACAACATTTGATTGTGAGTTCCTGCATGTCTGGGGGGCTGGACTGGATGGTCCTTGTGGTCTCTTCCAGCTCTGATTCTAACAACAACAACGTCCAAATTTCTGCACTCATGCATACACACACACAGAGTCCCATCCGATGGAATCCTGGGATTTGTAGTTATACAGGGGCTTTATAGACTTCTCTGCAAAAGAGTGCTGGTGCCTCTGTTGCTGTGTGCTTCTTCCAAGTCGCTTCTCACTTAGGGCAACCCTGAGGTGAACCTACCATGGCAAGTTTCTGCAGAGGATATTTGCCTTCCTCTGAAGCTGAGAAAGTGTGACTTGCCCAAGGCCTCCCAGTGGATTTCCATGACTGAAGGGATTCAAACCCCAGTCTCTAGAGTCATAGTCTGAGACTCAAACCACTATGCCACACTGGTGCATTGCACAACTGCAGGCTTCTGTAAGATGGAGCCTCAAACTGCATTATTTCTACAATGTAGATGCATCCCTGTGTTCCCTGCTTTCCCTCTGCTTCATTCTCTCCTTGGGTTAGGATTGTGGTAATGGAGATGGCAGTCACTTCGGTGGCTTTGGCAGAGGGTCCCATTGGGGTTCTTGTGGGTAAAATGGGTTTGTCTCTCAGCCCTTTGCTTGGGAACTGTATGAACACATGTACCCAGTTGCTTTGCGTGGGAAGACAGGATGCTGGGGCAGCCAGGATTATTTTTTCGGCCAAGCAACACTATTTACCTACAGATGTCAGTGGATCGGGCTACTTCACATGGCTACTTACTACATGGGGTGCTGGCTGATGTGACCTGTTAAGCTCATTATGTTTGCTTTTATAAGTTATTGTTACCTTATCTTTGAATAAGATATGCTATCCTTTTCTCTTTCCCTTGCATTCTGCCCTTCAAGAAGATCAGGCCAGTAATGATTATACCACGTTGCCCTTGCTCCAGCCCTGGTTAAGCTGGGAGATAGTAGTGACAGTTCAAAAGATGCCTGGGTGAACAAATACGAACCTGGGCCTCCTAGTCCAAATCAGACACCTTGCCTCACTGTGTCACATTTATCCTCTTGTGTTTGAAACAAACGCCTTTATTTCCACTGACTGGGCAAACAAAAGTAGAACTTAATAGAGTAGCATTTTCTGTGCTTTATGGTCAAATGCAGTTGCAATGGAAAATAGATGGGGGGGAGTCAAACTAGAAAATAATTAGAACATATGAGCACCTGAGGGAAAATATACAGCACTCAGCTTCTCTTTCCCTTTTTCTAGAGAGTACCTTTTACTGTTCCCACAATCTAGCCCAGGGGTAGGCAACCTTTTTGAGCCGGGGGCCAGGTTGCTGTCCCTCAGACAATTGGGGGGCCGAAGCACCAAAAATAAATAAATACATAAAAATAAAAATATATTTTTTAAAAAAATATGCATGCATACTCTTTCAGCCCCAGAAAAGTCATGGCAAAACCCCTGTGGAGATTTTGCCAAGAGAACCCCAAGAACAAGTAATAACAACAGTAATCAGTGTCATCATGGCGGGAGGCAGAGGCGGTAGACCGAGCTCGGGCCGGTCCAAAGGCCTCAGGGGGCCGCATCCGGCCCCCGGGCCTTAGGTTGCCTACCCCTGATCTAGACCCTAACTATAGAGATCAGGTCACTGTTTCTCTGCAGAGAGGCGAAACACACGCCACTGCTGTGGTCCTGATCAAGATAGCTGAATTCTGCTGTAGATATGGAGGTAAAAGGTGTTGCATATGTTGTGTGTTTTCTGTCCCAGTCTACACACCCGTGTGGCCCCTGGAGAGATCTGTAACTTCCTCTCCAGTTCCTGCAGTAGAGGATAGGAATCAAAGTGGTTGGGGGTAATCTTAATCTATCTTAACTCTGGCCTCTTGTGAGGATAAAGTGGGACAACCCAAGTTTCTGCTGACAGATAAAAGCCAAATAACCCTCAGGGGTTATTATAACCAATATTATTCTGAATTATTGATTGAATCTAATGACATTCTTTCCAGAACACCTTTGCATTTTGCTTGCGCCAATGGATGTACAGACATTGT